TTTTTTGAAGAATACAAGAACATCTCTCTAAAGTAACAAACCTTTACAGGTGGAATTCAATATATATTTCTATAATTCTATATATATATATATATATATATATATATATATATATATATATATATATATATATATATATATATATATATATATATATATATATATATATATATATATATATATATATATATATATATATATATATATCTATTACTAGTTATAGATTCAAAATTCCTGCACAAACTTGTTAACAATCTAAATGTATATATATATATATATATATATATATATATATATATATATATATATATATATATATATATATATATATATATATATATATACATTTAAAAGATTGTAAATTAAATGAATTAGGGGAGCAAGATGAAGGAAGCGAAATCCAAAGAACTGATGTTCGAGGAAAAAAACTAGACGAATAAGAGTTTTTGGAGCACTTATAAATTTTATGTTTACTTATAAACTTTGCATCTTGATGAAAAAACATTTAAAAAAAAAAATATCAAAAGTGTTATAATGTAATAAATCATAATGTAAGTTGTGGATTAAAATTTATTGCAAATAAAAAAGATGATTCACAACTCACAACTGCTTGATTTAACTGAATTATTAATAAATGGTTTACACTTATGACATCACGAAACTCTACTATGGCTTTTAGTATAAAAAATCACTAAGTTTACAATGAAACAAAAGCTTCTTTCAATTGAAATTATAATGGTGCTATGTGGATTATATGTATTGAACCAAAGTATAAAACTAAGGTGGACACTTATTCAGTCTGGTGTTATTTTTTCAACAACCAAATACTCTTCTTAAATAAAAAACTTTTACTAAGAAATTGCGGTTTACCCAAAACTACTAAAAAAATATTTATAACTGGTGCGTTCACAAAACAAGTAATTTCTACAGCTTTTTAATACAAAACTTTGAAACTTATTTGTGTTACTCAACTCTTAAAAACATTATCAAAGTTCAGTTTAAAAAAACATTACATTATCAAAGTTCAGTTACAATACCATATAATGACCATCAATGTTGTGTTTTCTTGACTTAGTTATTAGTAAATAGTGCATAATCTACACAAAAAAGAGCACATTGTAATAATTATAATGTATTTTAATGTAATTTTTTTGATATATATACGAGTTCTAGAGTTAAAGAAATTTAAAGAATTTTTCTAACTTTTTTTGAATCTCAATATTTTAAAAAATAGAGTAAATACTGATTATATGTTTGTTACATACAAACAGCCCAATGTGGAAAGTTTATTTTTGCTAATGAAACAAACTTCGCATTTTTCTTTTAAATAGAATTAATATTTAGATCATTAGCCATAATTTTTTTACCTCAAAGAATAGTAATTCTATACTCTAAGGGAAAGACAATTGATGAACAAATTAAAAGTTGAGCTTTTATACTAATTCTCATTAATTTTAATTAAAGCTTGAAAATAATTCAGACCTGTAATATTCAAGAAAAAAAAAATGACGTAAAAAAATTATTTTGAACTTGGCAGCAAGATATGATAATGCATGCATTGACTTTGAAAGAATAGATTCAACTAAAATTAATTTATAAAAAAATTGTAAAACGTTTGTCAGGTTTAAACTTTTGTTTAGTAACTTATAAATTACAAGTAATTTGAGGGTTTTTTTTAAAGAATTTACTTATTTGCCAAATAAATTTTTGCTTAATAAATAATTTTATTAAAAAACTGCTAAAAAAAAAAAACATAAAATATTTAAATTTTTAAAACAAATTTTCGTTTAAAAAATTGTGTTTTACAATCGCTTTTACTTAAATTCATTTAAGTCATGCGCTAATTTGGCAAAAACATGGCCGCCGTTTTCCGTATGTCGCCTCTGAGTATATAGGCTCTCTAGATCGAACCATTCATTGTTGTCATAATTCTTGATGTATATTTTCATCGTTTTTTTTGTGAAATAGCATTAAAAAATTTATCATATTGAGTTTGAAGTTGTTCCATATGTTGATCGAGTTTTCATTTATTTTGAACTGTATGTTTTCATTTATTTTGAAATGTGTTAATGGCTGCGTTGGATATGATTGTTACCTTTTTATTATTTAGTTGCATTTTATTGTTTTTTGCATTTTATTGTTTTTGAGTAAATGTCTGTATCATTAATCGCTGTAAAAACTGCACAGTGATCACAAATCGAAGTTTCTAAGACGAATATTTTTATTTTTGCTGAGCTTCTACTTAAAAATTAATCATATTTTTAAATATTTTGTATTTATTGTCTTTTTTTATTAAATTTAGTTGTAACTCTAGTTGGTTTATAAACACCATTTATTAAGTTGGTGTTAGTGAGAAATTCCTTCATGTACATTCCATAATATTAGCTGAGATCTTGATTTAGATTACCGATTATAGATACAGGTTTATTTTGGTTGAGATTTAATAATAAGCTTTCTATATAGTTATTAAAACATTGAGAATATTTGGTGACTTATAACAGCAGATAAAATTGTTTTTTCAATTTGTTGTAAAAGAATAATCTCGTATTCAAAACTGCTATTCGAAAATAAAACTTTCAAGTTGTTTTTTATGTCGATGAGAATGCCACCTCCTTTAATGCTGTCTTTTCTGTCTCTACGCAGAGTTTTATAATTACTTAAAAGAAATTCTTTAGTTAGATATGTGTCGTTAAGTTAGGTTTCATTAAGCGTTGTTATATCCATCAAATTTAAACCTAATATTGGTTTGATTTCTGTGATGTATTTCGACTTAATCGAGTTTATATTTAAATGCAAAATCGATGGTATCTTTTTCTTCGAAAAATCAAAAAAGAGATTATCTAATCATCGGAATGTTTATTTATTAAAGACATTAAACTGAATATTAAACTTTGACTTATTAACTGAAAATACTTGGTTTGTATCAAAAGTTTCAGATTGAATAAATAAAAGACCATTACATTTAGTTTATTGGTATAATTAGTTGCGTTTGTGTTTTATGATTGAGCTGATTAAATGACGGCACAAAATGAAGTCATTCTTTAATATATTTTTTAAATTGTTGACCCTTTATGCATAGTAGTATTTTTTATTTTCATGATTTGTGTCAATTATCTAAGTTATCTAAGCTTAATATTATTGGTTATTTAAGTCAGTTATCTAAGCTTAATATTGTTGTCAAGTGTGTATTTGAGTTTGTTGTTAAGATCATTTCTTTTTTTCTTTTATTATGTATTCTTTCGTTTTCTGTTAAAACTTAATTTATTAAAATTCTTGGCCAGTAATACCTTTAGAACTTTTTCCTTAGCTAAAGCAATAATAACTATTTTTGCTGAGTGGAATTCAACTTTTAGCATATTTGTATTGATGTGTTTGGCTTATTTTCATTAATTGTGTATTTTTTTAACTTGTTCTTTGCTAATTTCAAGGCGGTTCAAGATTGAAAGGGTTGCCTCTTTGTCATTTAAATTATGTTACATTTAAATTGACATGATCAATTTCTTTTATAATAATGTTGGACTCGCGGTTTATTTTTTCATCGTTGTTTTTAGTTACTGCTAGAACAATAGCTGCATGATATGCTACAACAATAGCTTCTTGATATGCTTTTGTTATACAACAATAGCTTCTTGATATGCTTTTGTTATACAACAATAGCTTCTTGATATGCTTTTGTTATGCTATTCTTATTACCTGATACCATTTGGCTGTATAAATTCTGTACATTAGGAATATAAATGTTGGTTTCTTCTATTTAGTTGTTACCATTATTTGTTTCAGGTTTGTCTATTCTTTTTTCAATTCATCGATAACTTTATCTTTCTCTAGAAGATTATTGGTCAACTCTTTGATTAACAAATAACCATAGGTCAAGATTTTTTAACTAAGTTGTTTTTCTTTGGCAATTAGTTTACCATAGCCAATACCAGATATACTACAATTTTATATAAATTTTCATTAATATTAATAATAATAATAATAATAATAATAATAATAATAATAATAATAATAATAATAATAATAATATATATATATATAATTTTTTTTGTTTTTAAGTTATAAATAATCAAAAATATCGCTTATTACTCAAAAATAAATGAAAATATATCGAAAATAGAACAAAACAATAATGACACGATAATTACAAAAAGTAATAAAAGATGATAAAAGCGGAAACGAAATTAGATTAAAATAAGACAAATGTAGTAGAATAAAGTAGCAAGGATTATTTTGAAACGAGTAAAATAGAATAAAAACCTTTAGATACTAGTAAAGACCACACAAAGCAATAATGAAAAAATTGACCAAAGAATCGAAAATCAAGCAAAAACTAGAAAATCAAACAAAAAGTCAAACAAAAATAGAGAGAAAAAAAGAGAAAGATAAGGTTGTAAATAAATATGAATAAACAGAAGCTAAATAACATAAATATATAAACCGAAAAAAATTAAAGTAAAAATACCGAAAAAATTACATTCGATTATACGAAAAAAAAAAGAGCGTGTCAATAAAAAAATATCTTTCATACATTTCTTCCTCTCGTAAAACACATCTTTATATTTTGAAAGCGGAAACCAATGTGCTAATATGAATCACTTATTTTAAAAACCCCACCTGTCAACACAAGTATAAGGACGAGGTTGTGTGTGGATACATTGTATCTTGTATGGTTATTTATTTAAGATAATCGATAAAAACTGATTATCTCAACCATATTTAATTCTAACAAAAAAGTAAGTTTAACGACATCAAACGAACGATTTCATACTTTTATGTTGCATTTATAATCAAACAACAAACAAAGAAAGGTTTATTAATAAATATAGACAAAAATTCGATGACAGAGGGTACTGTACACTTAATGACAGTGGATACTCTACATTCGATGACAGTGGATAATGTACACTCGATGACAGTGGGTACTGTACACGCAATAAGAGTGCATTTTAAAAAAAAGTAAACATACTACAAACATATTTAAAAAAATACAGAAAACTAGTTTTTTTTTTAAATTGTTATATTTTATAGGTTATTTTCATAAAAAAATATTTACATTTCATTTTTAAAATAAGACTTTATACATTAATAATAGTACATCTCCGTATTTTATTTTCACGTTTACTTTTAGCTTTTAAGCGAGGAGGTCTTATAGGTAAAGTATTTTTATCAGCATCCAAATCTGTTTCAGAAACTGTACGAGGTTTTAGAGCATCTGTTTCAGAAACTGAACGAGGTTTCAGAGTACTTGTTTCAGAAACTGCACGAGGTTTTGGAGTATCTAAAAAATATAAGTTACCATCAGTACTAAAACAATTTCTTCAAAAAAGCTGTCTGTTAATTTAATGGTCAAAATAATCACATTTAAATATAATGCAGTAAAATAAAAGTTATTGCATTATATCTAAAAGTCAACAGGACCCTTATTTACACAGATCCCTAATACTATCAAAAAAAAAAAAAAAAGAATAGCAGGAGTTTTACTTAATTTAAACATAAATTTCGGAGGAGACAAAGATGCGTAAAACTTTCAAACGAAATAATCATATATAAAAATCTCTACAGATTTAAAACTACGCAATTAAAATTATTATCATTCTTCAAAACTTAATTTTCAGCTTTTTTATATGTATGAATATGTGTATACACATAGACATATATACACAAATTTATATATATATATATATATATATATATATATATATATATATATATATATATATATATATATATATATATATATATATATATATATATATATATATATATATATATATATATATATATATATATATATATATACATATATATATATATATAAACATATGTGTGTGTATATATATCATATGCTATAATGAAATAGGGAGCAGCAGAATTATGTATAGAATCAATTATTTTTTACACATAATTATACTATTATACAAACATTAAAATAAAAAAAATAAAATAAAAAAATAACCATATAAGCTTAAAATCTTTTGTTCATCTTGATCGCTTGGCTTTTTTGGAATGTTATAAAGAATTTCTGATTTAATATCTTCAAAACCTAAATGTCGTTTAGGTACAATATCATATGTATTAAGGTTTGAATAAATGCTTGGCAAAACATCATAAACAACTAAACTTTCATTTAGAATATTTGAATATGATAAAGACGAGCTTTCAGATTTTTTAATGTCATTAGGTACATCATTAGGAAAAGTTATATCAAATAATTTATTTTCAAAACTTCTTTTTATAGGTGGAAATGAGGATTGCTTGTTTTGTATAATGATATCAGGAAAAGAATTATTGACAGTATCAGTTGATGAAGTTGATTTTCTTTGTATTGTCTTCAGACATATATGAAAAGAATCAAACCCGCTATCACAAAACTGACATTCGAAAAAATCATTTCTTTCATTATTTAAATTGGAACAAATTTTACAATATTGTTTTTCTTTTTTGCACATAGCGTCCAATGATGTACTAGTCATGTGTAAACACTCTTGAGTTGAAGATAGTTTTAATTCATTTTTTTCTGTATTTTTTTGCAAATTAAAAGGAATATTTATTGGAGGTGTTTCCTTTAATGGTTGTGAATGTAAGAAACCATCTTTTAAACAACTAGGTGACAAATCTGAACCATTGGCACTCTCACAGCAACCAGAATCAACACTTGCAGATCCTGCACTACTCGAACTGCAAAAACTTTCTTTCTCATGAAGTGAGCCTTCCATGATAGAAAGAAGACTTTCATCGCCTAAAAGTAGTCAGAGTTAAAAAATTAGTAAATAAAAAGAAAAATTCATGAAATTAAAATAAAATCTTTTACTTACAAGTTGAGCCATCAGTAAGAACATCATTGGTTATAAGAACAGTATCTAAAAATAAAAAACATTGGCTAGAAAAAAACAATATCTGAAAAATGATTTTTACAGTATTTGAGAATGAAACGATTGCAATGTGAATATGTTAGCTGATTCCAGCTACATTTTATTCAGACTGCAATTAAATAGAATTTTTATAAAATCTAACCTGAAAAATTATTCTTTATGCTGTTGTTTTGATATAAGTTATATGCACATTGACTTGTTAATTGCCATCCCTCTTGAGGAGAAATCTTTTTTCCACTAAACAAAAATTTAATGTTAAAATATTCAATAAGAATATATCTTTAATAAGAAAGTTATATTTAACCACACAAATCATTAATGTATATTTAACTTAATTTGTCACTTTTCAAATAAATAAAATCACATCAACAAAAATATTATATCTTATAATATATGTAAGAATAGATGCAATCAATCATAGTCACAAGTAAATTAAAACAAAAGACAATCTTCAAACATTTAATTTTAAAATTAAATTAAACCGCAAGCAAAATAAATATTAAAAACACTATGAGTTTATATCTAAAGTTAATGTAAACTGAGACTGAAATACTAAATTATCAAGACTTAATCAAGTCTTGATAAAGTCTTGATATCTCAAGAACAGTATTTTTTAGGGTAAACTGCAAGAACAATATTTTTTTAGGGTAAACTGCAACTGGGTTTACTTTTTTAAATCTGATTAATTTAAAACAAAAGTTAACAATAAATAAAAACACTATTTATTAAAAGAAAAAAACAGCATTTTTTGTCGTATTTTTTGAATTAAAAGAAAAATATATTATATAGTATTTTTTTGTTGTTGCATTAAAAGAAAAAAATATATAATATAGCAATATAATAAAATATAAAAATATATAATATAGCATCTTTTTGCATTTTTTTATTAAAGATTTGTAAAATTCTAGTATCTAGTATTTTATAATTATACTTTGCTAAAAGTTATATACAGATTTTCTAATAATAATTACTCAAAGTTAAATTAAATTTTCAAAGCTAAGAACGAAAATAACAATATGAATGACAAAAATGTTCAATTGGTTTAATAAATAAAGAAATTTCTCATAAACAAACATGTGAGGTTCTAAGACAAAACGAAAGTTTTAATTCTCTGTAATGTAGAAAAAGAAAAATGAGTTGTTCTGGAATTGAAACAGATGAAAATACAACAATTTACCCTTAAACATACTTACTTAAAGCATAACTACACAATCCAAATAATTTGCTGTGATCTCACACAATGGAAAAAGATGAAAAGTTATTAAATTATCATGATAATGATAATTTAATAACTGATAAGTAGAGAATTTTTTTGGAAAATATTTACTGAAGCATATTATTATGCTTAATAGTTGAAGTTTTACACTTTATTTTTCTTAAGAAGATATAGGAAAACGATTATTTAACTTGCTGCTAAAAAACATTGATGTTAATGTTATTCCTGGAGAAAAGATACCCTTCATTTAAGATTAAATTTATATAGCGATGTAGTTGTTTTGGAGCTATAGAGTTTATAGAGGGTTGTAACCACAATTAAAGTATCCTCCTTGTTTGTAGGGGCCTTCTCGGCATTGGGAAGATAAATTAATAAAAAAAAGATGAGAGATGAATTAACAAAAAGAAAAGATATAAGTAGTGTAAATAAAGACTTTATTGTTCAACAGAAGATTGGTCTAAGGTCATTTTTAATGATAAATTGACCAATGATAATTAAATTTTGAGGAGGTTAATTGTAAATCAAGAATTATCATTAACAGAATAGCTGAAGAGAAGACTTTGAGTGCCAAGATTACAAGTAGCAAGATCGATTGATGGAGATGCATTTCTTATGATGGAGATCCATTTCTTATGAGGGGATTTTAAAATTTATACAGGGAGAATTAACCATTCTAGTTACAGAAAGACCTTGGAAAAAAAGCTTTTACTTTTTTTTAGAAGGGGTAAAACTTGGTTTTTCAACAGGATAGCGCAATGGCATTTACTGCCAACTCTGTGAAAAAGTAGTCTTAAAGGCAAGATATTACTCTTCTACCCTGTCAAGCACAATCAACAAATCTATACCCCCTTGAAAATATTTATTCATAGATGGACAAAAAATTATTCAGAGAGAATGTAATAAGCATTCCACAATTAAAGTTTGCATTAAAATAAATTTGGAACAAATAATAATTATGAAGCTTTTTGCAAACCGGCTATCAAACCTTACTAAATGTTATAAATTTGCTGGTCTCGACACCAGCAAATTTATAACATTTAGTAAGGTTTGATAGCCAGAGTTTGGAAAAAACTCATAATAAATTATATATTATAAATTTAAATTTATACTATTTATTAAATGCTGACTTAATGACAAATTTATTGATAAATTTGTTAAATACTGACATATACATGGATATATATGGTTATAAACATATAATTTTGCTATTTATTTACATGCTGGCATACAATATCTTGAAATATTTATTACAAACTTTAGTTGGGGAGGGTTGTCGAATCTGAAACACCTAGGGAATATTTTTTAGTCAAAGATAGTTTAACTATAAAAATATTTATGAATTGATTAATATAAACAGATAACCCTACTATACTTTTAACCATAATTTGACTTAACTGATTGCACTGTTAATTAACTAATTTTAAAAATTATTATTATGTTTTTGTATCAGGTTTCGGCGTTGCTGATGAAATTAATTAAGCTAACCGCGGGAGTGTTACAAACTATGATTAGGCAATTGGCTTTTTCATGCATTAGGCAAAATAAGTTTTGCCTAATCTAATCTTGGTATGAGGTGTGCACTTTAACTAACAAAAGTTAAGTTATGCCTAAAGAGGTATGGAACTAAGTGATCAATTCGCCTAATCTGATCTGGATCTAAATAAAAAAGTCTGTAAATTGATTGTTCAATTTAAAAAAAATTAATAAGGTGATAAATTGCGTAAGGGTTTTGCAGTTAGAATATGTAAAGTTCATTAAGTGCCTTTTTTATGATGTCTGACATTTGTTATGATGTCTGACATTTTTTATGATGTCAGACATTTTTTATGATGTCAGACATTTTTTATGATGTCTGACATTTGTTATGTACAAATGGCTTTAGAGCAAAACGTTTTATTAAATGAAATTTGCAAGATGTTGTCTTATGAAGTAAATTCTTTATGCTTTCTGTATAAAGAAATCCTGCATTCATCTTAACCGAAATTTCTGTTCAGAAACAAAAATCAAAAGCTCAAAATTAGATAAAATTTGTTTCTTTTTAGAAAGCTATTAACTGTTTATAATGCTTTATTTACTTTATGCTATTATGCAACAAGCAACAAATTATCTTGAGTGAAGATAATTTTTTGTTTTATCTGTGGTTTTTGAATTTGCAAAAAGTAAACAATAATTTGTATAATATATACACAAATTCACAACAACAATATTACAAAACTATGCTAGCAGTTTGTAATTTACTAAGACAAGCATACATTTTTATAGTATTATTATAAAAACATATGCTTGTCTTAGTAATGTACAAACTGCTAGCATGGTTATGTAATATTGCTGCTGTGATGTCTTTATATGTAAACATCTATTATTTTTAAATATAAATTTTGCATGATGTCAATTATAATATAACCAACACTTTTTCCAGAAAAAATACAACCGATTGATGTTTCCTAAAGCTTGATGCCAAGCAATAACTGTCAGTTATATATATTTCTTATTAATCAGCCTTATTGTATTTAAATTATTCAGTTGATGGTTGGTGCCAAAATTTAGAAGTTTTAAGCACCATCTAAGAGTTGTGTTTTTTATTGGTTCAGAAAAAAAAAATTGTAAAGGATTGAAAAGTTTGTTTGTATTATTTGAATTTATTTTTGATCAAATCTTGTAACTGTTTAGCATTTTATAAAAGTAGTTACAAGGGTTCTTAATTTAATAGAATAGCAGCGGTAAGTAAAAGATATTAATAACGTTTTAAAAATCGCAATATCTAAATCTGTTACTTATCTAAAAATGTGGATTGTCCTCAGTAGGTTGTATAATATTTTAAACTTTTTAAAGTTTTAAAAACATTTGCTCATTTCCTCATGAAATTACATTGCTGATGCTATAGCCTATAGCCCTAAAACAAATACCTTCCAGACTGATTTCAATCTTAATACTGTGGAGGTGGAGCATCAACATATTCTGAATTTAGTTTTCAATAAATAGAAATTTGACTGTACTATTTGTGTTCAGAATTTAAAAATGTGATATAGGTATAGTTTCAATTCAATTTAAATCTAAGGAGGGAGGTCATAAAAATAAGGTAAAGTGAGATTTTTTTGAAAATATAAATTTGGTTAGAAAAAATTCACAATTGATAAATTGGTAGGGGGTGTCTCTTTGGCACTTGAAAGTAGTTGTGCATGAAAGAGGATGGGGTTGAGACTGGTTGAAAGGTGGGGGGGGGGGAAGAAGGTTCAGAAATTTACACAAAGAAATTTTGCCAAAGGAAGAGTAAATCCTAGATCTGCCCCTGCACTTCCTAGATTTTTTGCTTTTTTACACACACATACAGCAGAATGTTAATAAAAAAAATAGTAATATCAGAAAAAATTTATTGCAAAATTTGTCATTTAATAACATATAAAAGCATTGGGTTTTAAAAAATTGTTTTTAAATTTACTTGTTTCATTAGTAAATAGCGCTTGTATCTAACATAATTGTCATTCAAAAGTTGATTTGGTTTTCTTTTTAAATTAATTCTTTAATCTTACCGCTTATAGAGTAATTTAAAAGTTAAAAAATGATAAAAAGTCGCTTAACCAAAATCACTTACTGCTTTAGTATATTTAGCAATTTACGTACGCTTAAGGCGTATGTAAATTGCATAACGCTTTAAAATATAACGCATAACGTTTTAAAATAAGGGCTGAAACTGTACAAATAATAAATTGTCTAAAAGCTATAACTATTACAATATTCTTTTATTTAATTAATTAAAAATCATTTAAAAAAGTTTTTAAGGTTTATGGTTGTAACTATTTTTTTTTTTAATTGCACCTGAACTATTTTATCAACCAATTAATTTTATCACTGAATAAGTTAGGAAAACTTTATAGCTCTGATCAAGGAAACTTTGGACTATTTTGTTATATCACTGGAATTTCATGCCTGCAGTTATTTATAAGAAAATGTTATTAATGCATATTTTATAAAGTTTATGTTATTCTCTTTTTTTAAATCCCGTTGCATCAAACATAAAAAATTGTATAACCCAAAAAAGCTTTCCCAGTGCAATCAATAATGGGTGACAAAAATAGGCGATATTCCAATCTCAATCATTCTTTCCTATTTATATATTATCTCGGCCTAGGCTCCAGCTATATTTTATTAAACCTGGCCCCAGCCCCAGTCAAATATCAAACCCGGCCATTTACTACAAGTAAGCTAAGAAAATTCCCTTAATAAATTATCTAATAAAGTTAAATATAAAGTAAATGATAATATATAAAAGAAGCTTTTAACATTACTAATTATATGGGCAGATATCCTGTTAATTGCTGCCAAAAATTTTATCTTTGAAAATAAAAAAGAAGAAAGAAAAAAACTGACATGATTTTAGATAAAACTGAATTTTATTGTAATAAAAAAAATAGCAGGAAAATGCTTCGAAAAAATTTTTATGAGTATAAATCTCAATCAATCAAAAATAATAATTCTTGTATGAACTTTTTATTATTATTAATTAAAAAATGTCATATTTTATGCAATAAATCTAAAGTAATAAATGCTTTAAATAAAAAATGCCTAATTGCATTGCAACCATATTTTTGCAACAGCCACCTAAAACAGCAATTAAATTGTAGTATTAATTGTATGCTAAGTTTAAAACTAGTAATTTGGGAGTAAAGACTTGTTTTTCTAATTTTTGCTCACATTGTTGCCATTTTCTTATTCCTAATTCTATTCTCTACCTGTATATCTCTAAATATCATTTAGAGATATACAGGTAGAGAATAGAATTCTTATATGGAATGTTGTCATATTTAGGCTGGTTATACTAATGAATCCCTCTCTATTTCAGACAATGCTCAAAAATGCATTGTAAATGTTGCTAAACCTGTTCTGGCTGCTATGCTTAAGCTCCTGTGTCATCTCCATAAAATTTCATCTCTTTCTTTTTTCTAGAAATACTACATGGTCATTGCTCAAAAGAGTTACTATTACTTTATCCATCCGTTAACTAAAAAATTATAAATGATAAAACTTAATCATTTAGAAGTTACCATCACATTATTTTATCAATATCAATTGAACTTAATTTTTTTTATATTTAAATTTTTCAAGACTGTTTTAGTGTACAAAACACTTTGATTAGAGGTTGACAGTCCTTGATAGGTCTTTGCTTGACAGTCACAATCTTCTTCAACCTGAAATCTTATTTGACCTTATAAATTTCCTCATTTTATTCTGAGAAGTTAATAGCTTTAATATAGAATAATAATTAATTTAAACAATTAGGTTTATAGTGAAATATTGGTATTTTGAGCTAAATTTTGGTCTAACAAAATCTTTCAAAGCATCAACATTTGAAAGGGTCATTGAAATTATTATTAGTATTGAGTAACAATTTAAATTATTTGCAAATAAATATTAAGAACTATCAAAATCTGAATAATATAAATAAGTTAAAATACAAGATTTGTATTTAAATAAATACACTATTAAATACTTTAAAAATGTGCTCCTGAAAAATTTCAGAGCCTAATTTTCAAAATATAACAAAGAAAATTTTACATTATTCAATTCAAATTTCTATATTATTTATTGAAAATTGTAAAAAAACTTTTACAATTTTCAATAACTTTTTTTTTGACAATTGTTAAATGAGTGCAAAAAATAAAATTTAGCTTTGAATAAATTGTTACATAAAAAGTACATATGTCAGTATAGAGATAGAAAACACTAAGATACACTAAAAAACTTTTAAAAAGCCTCAGATGTTTGATATAAGAGCATAGATAACACAAAATGGGTAATATTATGTCAACCCTTAAATTTTCTTTAAATTTTAACCAGTACCTATTAATAAAAAAAGAAAAAATGTAAAGTTTCAGCTTCCAAATCCAAATGGTTCAAAGTTAAGACTTTTGAAAAATTCAGCTTGAATGCTTTTGCTCATCTCCACCATTATAGATTTTGCAATTGTACTATTCAATAAATAATTTAAGGCCTAGTATAAAAATATGGCGAACAATAGTTGGCGTCAGAATGTTCTCCAGAGTTTTTTTGCAATTGTACTACTCAATAAATAATTTAAGGCCTAGTATAAAAATATGGCGAATAAATGGTAGTTAGCTGAAAATCTAGAGAAAATAACAGATACAACATATGAAGCAAGCTTATGGAGAAGACCAGCATGTCAAACTTTGTTGAAAGCTTTAGATATGTCAAGAGCAATAGCCCTAGCCTCTTTGCCTCCATCCAGACTAAAAAACCTTGCTGATAGAAGACTGATAGAACAATAGTTGGCGTCAGAATGTTCTCCAGAGCTTGCTTCATATGTTGTATCTGGAAAAGTTTTTTCCAGATACAACATATGAAGCAAAATTTTATTATTGTAATTCTCAACATTTTCACTATGTAAATTTGATAAGTAAAAGTTTTATAAATTTTAAATGAGGTAAGTTGTTGATTTGACATTGATTATTGATAGTCCAGTAGTTCATATTAACATTTCTTTTTCATATTCAGCAATAACTTCAAAAGATTTAAATCCAAGCGGTATATATCTTGTGAGATGAAGCATGATTCCTATGAAGCATTGTTGAATGTTTATAATGGCTGAGAAACTGAATTACCAAATAAATACAACTTTTATGCTTTATAGATCATAACTGACACTTCAAAACTATATTTGTATGCCAAAAAAATATTATTATACATTGCAACTGAACCCATGAGATTCAGACAACTCCAGGAGTTACTGAAGGAGCAACCCATAGTGACAGAGCAGAAAATTCAACTGACCATTTTAAAATCAAAAAATGACCATCATAAATTTTATATTGGGTTATCTTTTCTACATTTTTTTTGCAACTATTTGCCATATTCTTCCATTAGAATTTAAACTATTCATTAAAAAATTCTCATTATTCATTAATTCACATTCATTATTAATTAAGAATCAAAGTCCATAATGGTGGACCTGGAAAAAAAGCAGGGTCTTTTAGGCTGAATATTAAAAAGCCATAAATTTTGAACTGCTTAGATTCAAAGCTCAAATTTTGTTAAATGTTTCATCGACAGATACTACTGGTGCATTTGAAAGATATATCAAGATGTATCACTGGTTAAAATTTGAAAGAAATTTGAGTGGAAAAGTCTGACTGGAAAATTTTAATTGCTTGTCCTACAAGGAAAATTATCATTTAACTACCAGAGAACAACAATACTGGAATTAAGATTAAATTAGAAATAATAATAACAAATAGTAATAGATTGTAATAATAATAACAGCTAGAATATTAGTAAAAAATTAAAAAAATTTTGCATTTAGTTGTTTAATAAAAGAATTTTCTGAAGAAAAAAATTTGTCTGAAAAATGATTTGATCATCTCCTTCATAATATGTTTTTTTTTTTACAAAAACAAGTTCAAGACTGCAGTTGGCCACTGATGATTGACTGCAGTTGGCCACTGATGATTGACTGCAGTTGGTCATAGATGATTAGGTGATCAATAATAGATGCATTCAACTTTTGAATGAGTCTCTTAAATTTGTAAATAAGTCTAACAAATTTGTAAATAAGTCTAATAAATTTGTAAAAAAGCCTATAAAATTTTGATTTATCATGGTCAACAATTGATTGAATCAACAACATTGTTGTTGATGATGATGATAATGATGATGATGATGATGATGATGATGATGATGATGATGATGATGATGATGATGATGATGATGATGATGATGATGATGGTGTCAATAATGCAACTTTTGCTGTCGATTTTTTAAAAAAGCCACTTACCTTTTAATATTTTCTGAAGTTACAACAAACATATCTGAAACACCTAAAATTAAACTTAATTTTATTATTTTTTTTAGAAAATACTGAAAAGTTTAGGATGAAAATAAAATATCTACCTGAAATTGTACCAAGTTTTAAGTTAGCATATTCACTTGGAAAAAATCCCACAGCTCCGGTTCTTCGATTTTGACCTTTCCACATAAAACTATTACTGCTAAAAATTTATTATTATCAATAAACTTTGTTTAAAATTTCTTGAAAATAAAAAAAAACTCTTAAAAGAAAGGAAGCTTACTTTGATTCAAAAATTGTAATAATATCCCCCTGAGAATAACACAACTGATGTGACATTTCACTAACTCTTGCTGATATAGCAGTAACTTCATAAGGAAGTACCTGTAAAAATATATTTGTATAAATAATATATTTGTAATAAATAACTATACTTGTAGGACTTGCGTTATTTTATGATTTCGCATTTTTGAGATTTTAGAAAATAGTTTTAGTTTTTAAAAAGGATAAAAGTACAATCGAAAAAAAAAAAAAAAAAAATGAAACTATAACACAGCGCTATGCAATAAGACAAAAACAATGTGTTCTTCTTGCCCTGCCATTAATTTAGTTGTAATAAATATGTGCATGGTAATATTTATTGAACAACAAAATATAATGCTAAAAAAGTTTTAGTTAAGGTTCTTTTGCTCAATCTATTTATATTTGAAAAGATATTTAAATTAGAAAATAGAGGCATCTTTATACGAGAACTTATATCTTTAAATGTTTCCCTTTAGTTGTTCTCTTCAACTATAGTTGTTCTCCTCAACTATAGTTGTTCTATTCAACTATAGTTGTTCTCTTCAACTACAGTTGTTCTCTTCAAGTATAATTGTTTTCTTCAACTATAATTGTTTTCTTCAAATACAGTTGTTCTCTTCAACTATAGTTGTTCTCTTCAAGTATAATCGTTTTCTTCAACTACAATTGTTCTCTCCGACTACAGTTGTTCTCTTCAACTAGTTGTTCTCTTCAAGTAAAGCTTGTACACAAAATAAATATGAAAGTAGAAAAATAACTAAAAAAAGTACTCTTCAATTTTTATTTCCAACCAAGTAATAACTATAATACAATAATATAAGAAGATTAAATATAAAAAAAAAAAAAAATCAAATTATTCTTGTGGGAATCTCATAAAATTTCGAACTTTTGCTTTGGTGTTACCCATAAGCTTGTGTACAGAATAAGAATTGAAGCTATTTGATGCTTTTTTAAATGATATTTTAATATCTTTAATATTTTTGCTTTTTTTGTTTTTTTCATTTTTCTTTTAATAATGCCCAAGTACTTTTCAATAACTCTTAATTTTGGGCAGTTCGGAGGATATTTTGTTTTAGGCACAAATTTTACATTACTTTTTTTTATACCATTTCAAAGCTAGTTTTTTTTTTTTTTTTTTTTTTTTTTTTAACATCTTCACTTCCAACAAGGCTGCAAGCAACCACTATAAGAGTTGGAAGTTACTGGAAGAGAAAAGACTAAATCTGTAGAGCAAGATAACGATTGACTGATGACTTAAAAGATTGCAAATTATATGAATCAGGAAAGCAAGATGAAGGAAGCGAATTCCAAAGAACTGATGTTCGAGGAAAAAAACTAAACACGTTGTAAACACGTTGTAAACACGTTGTAAACACGTGTAAACACGTTGTAAACAAAATGCAAAACAATTAAAAAGATTTTAATATAACCACTGAAAAAAAATGACGTACTTAATCTTTCAAATTTCGTGAACACGCTTTATAATTGTTTTCTATAACTATAATTATTTTACAAACAATTATATTAAAATCCCCTCAATTTAATGGGGTTGAAATTTTTGTAGCTTCATAATTTTTGAACGCTGAGAGATAATACTATGAAACTTAAAATTTATCAATGAATATAAGTCTAGTTGAAAATGGTACAAAAAATATTTCATCAACTCGTTGCTCTCACGTTTCGGGCAGGAGGGGTCCAAAATTTTGGGGCTTTTTTGTTCCCAAGCTCCAATCATCACAATTTCTTGTAAAGCATCCTTATCTGATAAAAATATAAACATATAAATGTTTGGAGTTTGCTCCATGTCTGGAAGTTAGCTATCTCAAATACCAAAAAATGCTGGCGCCGCCTCTTATCCTGATTATCTGCAACTTTACGCTCTACATGCTTGCTCTGCATACAATTTTTAAATATTTTACTCTCTTTTTTTTATTGTAAATAATGATTTATTAATCATATATAATTATTATTTAGATGTATTGCAAAAATGAACTTTGAAAATGAAAAATAAATCAAAAAAAAAACTGGTTAAAAACAGTATGTCGGACTTCACCCAAAAATTTTGAGTTTTGTAAAGGAACTAGCGCTGTTTGAATGGACAAAGCATCAGTAGATCAAAAAATATTTTGTTTATATTTATTATAACTATTATAATATAATATATATAACAACTATTATAATATATAACAATTTGTCATAATAAAATATTATTTGTTATCATAAATATTATATAATATATATAATAACTACTATAATATAATATAATTTGTTTATATTTATTATAACTATTATTACTATAATAATTATTTGATTGACATGAGGAATTCTGATAAATGTGCTAAGTCCAGATCTGAAAAATGTATTAAGTCCAGTAAATTAAATTTAAGAAAACTAGTAAAAGCTGAGCTACTCATAGTTGTGCATTAGCAGATATTGATATATTTTAGACTTTTTGCACATTTTGCATATGGTCTATATGATTAAAATAGATTTTCTTAAATGTTTTGTAAGTGGCTAAAGTACTCGAAACTACTGAGTTTTTATGTCTATTATATTTATGACATGTATTATATTATAATTTTTAATCATTTAAAATATGAGTAGTTTCTTAATATTCGAATTACATTTTTATAACAACATATAAATTATATTATTTTTGACTTTCGGATAAAATGAATGGAGTAACTGTCTATTTGCTGGATTAACGGAGTTTTCCTGTTAATTTAAACAAAAAAAAATGAAATACGGAAACCGAAAATTTTATGGAGAAGGTTCTGTATCTTATTTAACTGACTTTTTCTGCTGATTTTTACAAAAAATAAAAACTAGCAAAATTTTTACAGAGAATTAATTAATTTTTGCAGAGAATTAACGTTAATTTTTACGGAGAAAGTGCTGTCACTTTGCTGCCAGACAATCTCAGTTGAATCTACGGAGAACATTTTAACAGTGTAATTGTTCTTTTCAAGTATAGTTGTTCTTTTTAACTATATTTGCTCTTTTCAATTATAATTGTTTTCTTCAACTACAGTTGTTCTCTTCAACTATAGTGGTTCTCTTCAATTATAGTTGTTCTCTTCAACTATAGTTGTTCTCTTTAACTATAGTTGTTTACTTCAAGTATAATTTTTTTTTAAACTACAAAACAATATATTTCCTATATTTGCTCTTTTCAATTATAATTGTTTTCTTTAACTACAGTTGTTCTCTTCAACTATAGTTGTTCTCTTTAACTATAGTTGTTTTCTTCAAGTATAATTTTTTTCTTCAACTATAATTGTTTTCTTCAACTATAGTTGTTTTCTTTAACTACAGTTGTTCTCTTCAACTATAGTTGTTCTCTTCAACTATAGTTGCTCTCTTCAACGATAGTTGTTCTCTTCAACTATAATTGTTCTCTTCAACTATAGTTGTTCTCTTCAACTATAATTGTTTTCTTTAACTACAATTGTTCTCTTCAACTATTGTTGTTTTCTTCAACTATAGTTGTTCTCTTCAACTATAGTTGTTCTCTTCAACTATAGTTGTTCTCTTCAACTATAATTGTTTTCTTTAACTACAATTGTTCTCTTCAACTATTGTTGTTTTCTTCAACTATAGTTGTTTCTTTAAACTATAATTGTTTTCTATAACTATAGCTAACTACAGTTGTTCTCTTCAAAAATAGTTGTTCTCTTTATCAGTTGTTCTCTTCAACTATACTTATACAGTTGTTCTCTTCAACTATAGTTGTTTTCTTTAACTACAGTTTTTCTTTTCAACTATTATTATACAAATTTTGTACAGGTACAAAACTTGTAACAAAAAAACTCACAACCTGAATAATAAAACGCAAAAAGTTTTTATAGAAATCTATTTAGAAAATTATTTGTTAGAGGGCATGTGCATCAGATATTAAGAGGCACTCATATCACTAATAGTCAATTTTTTGAATTTGATTAATTTTAGAGCATTAGTGGTGGATTATGACCTAACAAAAGATATTTAAAAAATTCAATTACTTTTTGAGTACAACTAATTCAATTGTTTACAAAGTACACTAGCCTTGACAATAATCTCATGTTGCCACCACACGCCATCTCTCCTAGTAGGAGAGATGGCGTGTGGTGGCAACATGAGATTATTGTCAAGGGTAATAGGCATAAAAATTTGTAGACCAAATTCAAAGAATTATTGAAGAAGACCATTTAAAGTTGGTAAAATACATAAATACCCATAAAAGAATGCAACAGCAGAACAACAAAATCAAAACAAGAATTAATATAAAAGTTAAAATAAAATTGAAATTAAAGATTTTAACATTTAATGAAGCTAAATTTACATTTAAAAGTTCTTTCTCTAAAGTACTGAATGTACCACGCTCTTCGGGAATATGTTTCCAACAAGTATTATTGATAATAGAATATAATGTGCTAGGGCAATATGATGGCTTCTTTAATCGCTCAAAATTCGGCTCATCAATTTTATGCAAAATCTAAAATTAATTAAATTTTAACTAAAAAAAATCCAAAATTTAACTGAAAAAAATATATTTCTAAAAAGCCCTGCAAAAAAAATAAATATATATATATATTATGTATATACATATATGTATGTATGTATGTATGTATGTATGTATGTATGTATGTATGTATGTATGTATATATATATATATATATATGTATACATATATGTATGTTTATATATATATATATATATATAATATAGCATATATAACTATGAATGCGTGTTTAGATCATCTCTGACATCACACTGAAATAGTCTGCTGCCAGGGGCTTCAGTACATAAATTGACAATCTTTTATAGCCTGCTGGCGCAAGGGAGTGCAGCTACATCGACTGAGGGTTTGGCAGCAATCTTTTCTTTCATTATTCTTCATTTCTTTTCTTTTTTTCTGAAAATGCCGAATAAATAATTGTAACAAAAATATGGTAACAATTTTTTATCTAAACACTCTATAGTAGAGTCTTATGTTTTTTCTTTTATGCGTACATATATGAGCAACTCCTTGGCAGAAAATGAAAAAGAGTTTATTAATTGAAAAATTTTATTATCATTTTTTTTTCAACTTTTAGCAAATGAATATTGATGTAGACACATGAAAGCTTACTTATAACATACCTTTAGAATCAAAATTAATTTAATTAGGACATTTCTATGGTTCCGTAAGTTCATTGTAAAATTTTATTTTAACTATGAATTTATTTGCATAATCTGAATTAATTTAGTGTAAAATGAAGCTAAAATGTTCAAATTGTTGTTGGTCAGATTTTATACTTTAAAAAACATATATTTCAAGAAAATAACAAAAGAACTTTAGTAATTTTCATGTAACTTAAGTTAACAAAAACATAATAAAGTTTTATTTTTTCTAAAATTCAGTTAAAAAACTTAAATTTTTTAATAATATATGCAAAAGAATATTAAATGTTACATTTTTACATTTAAAGTTTCGAATAAAAATGCTTAGTTATAGCACATTCTACTTTTAAATTTTCTACATGCATTTACCAAAGTTTTGGCACTTTTTTGTAAAGTTTTAGTTGCTTACAAAATGAACACTTACATTATCATCGCAACTCTCAAGAGGTTTAAAATAATTTAAATATATATTTTATAAAGTTACGATTGTTTACAAAGAAGAAAAATGTTTTGCAATTCCCTAAGGAATTTTTAAATCTGAAATTTTAAATATGTTTTTAACTTATAAGTTTTAATAGACTATTAAAACTTATCAAACTGCTTATTAACAGAGTGATTCAAAACGGAAAAAAAATTATGAATGCCAATCACCAAAAAGCTCATCATCAATGATTAAAACAAGATTCGGAAAAAAAAATTACAGAGAAAAAAGGAAAAGGTCAAAAATATCAAAACTTCTGCAAAAATGAACTTTTCTACTATTATGAATGTTCAAACAAAAGGAAAATTACTCTAGAAAATCAAAAAAACATTGCCTAAAGATCCTGCAAAAAGCTACAAAGTCCTAGTCACCTTGCTGAATAAGTCGTTCAACAAAGATACTACTCTCCCATTAAATAGCGTTAATAATTCAGCTTTGACTGAAGTTTAAATAATAGTTGAAAAGTTTTACTGGGAAGGTGACTTTCTCCACATGTTAAGAACTTTGTCTTAGTAATTGAAAATGGAAAGAAGGTTAAGGTCCAAAATTATCATCTTCTTTTAACCCTAAAAGAAGTGTACAAGCATTTTATATATGATAATTTGGGTATCAAGATTGAACTAAGTTAAGTTCCATAACTATTTTGGACCCCTCTCTCCTTCCTTGCCACAACATCGTAACACTTTAGTAACAAGTTCCATATGAGTCGTCACAAAACTACTAACCTCTCCCTCCTAAAGCAGCATGACATAATTTATGGACAACCCCTTATATAAATAAACATTTGTCCCCATTTTTTGTCTACTTTATTCCATACAGCTTTTTCAGAAAAAGAAAAAAAAATACATACATCGACTGATTTAAATAAGTAGAACATGCAAGGTACCTACATACATTGACTGATTTAAATAGGTAAATGTATGTATGTATGCATGTTTGTTTGTATACATCTACATATATAAATATATATTACAAAGTTTATTTAACCAAACATTTTACCTCGGATCCATTAAGACCTGACCAAGGTTGTGCTCCAAGTGAAAACATTTCATAAACAGTCACTCCAAATGACCACAAATCAGATGCATGAGAAAACTTTCCAAAATTCAAACACTCAGGTGCACACCTAAATACATAGAATTTACAATAAAAATCTTATTTATAAAAGTAAACATTAAAAATAAATGTATATATAATTATATATATATATATATATATATATATATATATATATATATATATATATATATATATATATATATATATATATAATTATAATTATAATAATATTGTATATATGATTACGGATAGTAATTTGTATATAATATAGATATTACTATCCATAATTTGAATATCAATATCTTAAATCCTTTCGTTAAATAAATTTTTTGCTTAGTTTTTGCATTATTAGGTAATTTAGGCAATATAATTTATTGAATAAAATACTTTGAAAAGTTATGATATTAACAAATTATTGATATTACCATTTATTCTTGTCATAATAAGAAGCTAACTCCCTCTGATTGCTTGGAGGGGGCATTTGAGATCGAAAAAGATCTCACTTTTGCTACAGCATGGGGCTCACAGTGGCTGGTGAACTTTAATTCAGATAAAACTCAATTTTTTTTCGGCTAATCGTTTTCGCAATTATTTAGACCTTCCTATATTTATGAATGGTAATGTACTTGATGAGTCATCTACTCTTCATCTTCTAGGATTAACTCTTACTTCTGATCTTTCTTGAAAACTTTTTATCAAATCCGTTGCAAAATTAACATAAAGTTGCATCTTTTTATCGAGCTCGACACTTTCTTAATCTGGGGCTGTTGCCATATCTGGGGCGGATCTTCTAATGATGCCCTTTCTCTTTTAGACAAGGTACAAAAACGCTTTGTCACAATGTGACAAAGGTTGAAGGTTGGCTGCAAGAGCAGGTCCAACTATGTACAACAGAAAAAGGAAAGGAAACAAGAGACGCTAGTTCTTTAGAGCAGTGCCCATTATAGTATTTGTAGAAAAGAGAAAGATAAACAACATTACAACAATGTGACATCGTTGTAATGTTGCTTCTCTTTCTCTTTTCTACAAATACTATAATGGGCACTGCTCTAAACAAATACTATAATATCTCTTGTGCCATCTACTATAATTCATTCTCGTATTACTCATCATTCAACTAAGTATCATCCTTTTTCTGTTTCTGTTCCTAAGTGTTCCAAAAACTCTTATTTGTCTAGTTTTTTTCCTTGAACATCAGTTTTTTGGAATTCGCTTCATTTATCTTGCTTTCCTGATTCATACAATTCACAATCTTTTAAGTTGTCTGTCAATTGTTATCTTGCTCTACAGTCTTCATCTTTTCTTTTCCAGTAACTTCCAACACTAGTTGGAAGTTACTGGAAGTTTATTATTGTTATTAGTGGTTGCTTGCAGCCTTGTTGGAAGCGAAGATGTTTAAAAAAAAAATTACATTTTTAAATAGGTTGAAGTAGGGGTTAATGTATATTTACATAAGTATACTGTTTTGTTAATCACTTGATAATCATGTAATTAATGTTTAATTTAAATCCAATTTTTATTTTAATTGTTCATAAATCATGCAATTATCTAGTCAGATGTTTATGTGAAGATTATATAACACAAGTTTTGCTGTATATTTTTGTTGATATTTTTACATGATAATTGGCATAAAAACAAGAGTAGACAGTAGAAAAATGATCCGCAATAATCACATTGCGCAAGAAATGCATACTATAGGACAAATAGCCTAAAAATTCAAAATTTTGACTTTAGTTAATAGTTTAACTAATTATAAAAAGTTGACTAATAGTTTAAAATATTATAAAAAAGAAATTATAAAAAAGAAAATGTGTGGTCAATTGTAAATGATCAGGACCTTTCCAAATTACATCTACCGCAGAAGGCAGAAGATATAATATCACAAGTAAAAGAAATTATGTTACTCTTATATAAATATTGCTCCAGAATTAACCACTTTGAATTGCCCCCAAAGAGCTCCAGTCTCTGTGACAATGATGAAGCGGCAATTTATTGAAGCAAAGTTTGGTAACAGAATAGTTGCAAGAAAATCATTCCTTTGGCTCCAAGATAAATTAATAAAAGACTGGAGTGGGCTAAGTTAAAAAAAAAATGGACCATTGATGACTGGAAACATATTCTTTTGACCA